TTGTCTAATTAATAAATTTTATTTTTTAAGATGATATATTTTTTAATTATAAATTAATGAACAAAAAAAATATTATAATCACTTAATGTTATTAAAGGTAAAAAACAAAATTGAAATTTATTAAATAAAAAATTAATCATTTTGTCTAATTAATAAATTTTATTTTTTAAGATCATATATTTTTTAATTATAAATTAATGAACAAAAAAAATATTATAATCACTTAATGTTATTAAAGGTAAAAAACAAAATTGAAATTTATTAGATAAATATTAATTAAAAAATGTAACCAAAAATAAAAAAATTAAAATGGATAAATTGGTCAATAAAATTAAAAAATTTTAATCCACTAGTGATTTAGTACAAAAAGCTATATAAACTAGCTTTTTCAATTCGTTAGCGGTTTGGACTCTATAACTGCTATTCATTAGTTTCAAATCGCTAAATAAAAATTTTACTAAACACTTTATTTGTAGCGGTTTTGAAATATATAAGTTTACCAAACATCTATATTTAGCGATTTAAGTAAAACCGCTAACCGTTACCCCCAAACTGCTATACCAAATGGGACCTAAAGGTCTTTGAAATAGAGATAGCAATCTTCTCTCAAACTTGTAAAGTTTAGTGAAAATTTTTATGATAGAGATGGAGATTTCAAAATTATTCTTTTTCATAAAGTGAGAATAGAGGCATTTCTTTCCTTGTAAAATTTTATAGAAAATTTCTTTCATCTGTGGAGATCCATTAGAATCCATATATAATAAAAAATATATAAATTTATTATTATATATATCTTTATAAATATATTATCAATTAATTTTAATCTTCTCAAATCCAATTTAATAACCTAATCTAACCCGAACATGTATGACAATTCATGTTTTTTTTTTTTTTATAAACTTATTATTAGACCTGTTAGACGTGTATGACAATGTGTATTTGCTGCAATTAGTTACTGATATTATTTTGTTACATTATATATTAATATATTTACTTCTTTGGATTGTTTTAAATTTTTATTTTTTTATTTATAAAAAAATTAAATTTTATATATTTAATACTTGACGAGGGTTTTGAATATCCATAAAAATCTATCATTTTCTGTAAATATGAAGACGAAAGCCATTGTTTACTCCCATGAAAATCTCGCTACCCATAATTAATGGAAATAGAGATGGGGAGATGATCCCGCCCCAGTGAGTAACCCTTACCATTCCTAGTTTGAAATTTTATAATATGAAGTCTGAACTGAATTAGTGTCCGCTTCGATATGTTAGATTTCACTTAATATTTTGATATTAAAGAATTTGTACGCTTACACCCCATCAACAAAACTTCTGAGATAACAGAGCATAACAAATGAGTGAAGTTGTAGCGTCGGTCAATCGAGAGCCGTGCTTGGCACTTTCTCCAAATTTGAAAGATAATTGTGATTTTATTTTTTTTTTTCAATAGAGGGATGACAAAGAATTTTTCTCCTTTTTTTTTTTTTTCGAAGTTTGAGAATTTTTTTTTTTTAACAGGGTTATAAATTGGAGGTGAGGGGTTTCAAACCCAATCTGAGGATTAAGTGAATGCTTTTTACAAGTCGATTTATGACTGTTGAGTCTTACGGCTCAAGTGCCAAAGTTTGAGAATTTTTAATGACATTAAGCCAAAAATAATATATACATAAAAAAGAGCATGTTGCCACTAGGTAATGTTTGTTTTAAAGTTTTAACCAAAGAGATCACAAAAAATAAAAAATAAGAGGTTACTGAGTCTACATGACACAATTGTATGCCTAGAACTACAAGAATACTCCAAAGCCGTGACAACTAGAAACTGACGATAAAATTCTTCAAATTGAATGCCATTTTAATCATACAAAATATTCTTTTGTGCCAACCTAATTATATGACTATAAGAGGCCTTGCGGAAATATCTAAAGAAATGCAGGAAAGCACCATTAAGTTCTTAGACCAAGGAAAGAAGACGAGAGAATCCTGAAGAGTCCATCTGGGTTATCAGCATGTACCTATTATGAGATTAAAAATGGAGCATGAGCAAATTTGTTGTGCCCATAAATCAGGAACTGCATTTCCAGAATTCCCATAATCAAGACAATGATTTGAACCATGTGAAAAACTTACCCAGTGTCCAGCATCTTCAAGGACGTGCATCTGGACTCCACCTCCTTCATCAGATGCAAGCAGCTCCGCAGCATGAATTCGCTGGAGATCTTCAAGGGCCCACTGATGTAAACTCCTTTCCGCTTTCAGAAAGTTAATATGCACACCCTGGGGTAGATTTTCCACAAATTTCCTATATTTATTTTGTTTTTATTTATCAGGCACAAAAAAAAAAAAAACGAGTAAGCTAGAGGGAAAAGATTCAGCATGAATGAACTGAAAGCAACAAAACTATAACCGAATCTACGCAAGGCTACCATAAATTTGTTTCTTCATAGGATCGGTACATTTCTGCAATTCCATCAAGGTCAAACACCCATGAGAAACTTGATGATGAACCAAGAATTCCAGTTGGTCGGAGGTTAGTTACCACCCACTGACATGAAATAAGAAAGCCAGAATAATTTATTAACACCACATAAAGAAAGACAAATTACAAAGCAAGAACTGAAGAAATAATTTACTAGTATCTCAAATAAATATTGGTGGTTGAAAATGTACCCGTGCCACATCCATAGAAAAGCCTTGAACAAGAGCTTTCACAATCTCCTGCCTTGAGGAGACCTTCCTTAAAGAGAGATTGTAATATGATTAATGCCACACTCAAAGAAAGAAATAAATATTGAAGATAAAGAGTGATCTTTTTTGGGTCCAAGCAGGCGCATGATGCATGTACTAGAACTATATATAAATTTCGAAAGAAGGAAGAAACTGAAAATATTACAACAAAGTGGCAACAGGAACTTATGTGTTTACTATAAACAAACTGTTTTAAATAAATACATTCCAACCAGGAATCAGTAAATTCAGTGCTAGGACTAAATAAATAGTGTAAAGAAATTAGATGTTGAACCCAATAAATGCATAGTCACTATCATTTGTTTACTTTCTTCATATTATGTGTTTGATTTAACTGTTCTTTGAATGCTGTTAGTGATCTTGTTTGATTCTTGATGTAACTGATTATTAGACACAATTTTAGCAGCCTTCTTGGATCCTATTTGTAGTTGGCTAGTTGCCTTAATGGACTAATTTTTGACACATTACTAGCAGATATGCAGAATCACAAATGACAGAAACAACCAACAAATTTGAAATTAAAATTAAAAACTTCTCACCTCCTTAGGCAATTTACTTAAGAAAGATATTAATTCTGCAGGGTGATCCTCACCATCTCCACCAGCTCGTACTTTTCCAGGAGTAGCATCTAGAACCCAAACCTATTGAATTTTATGAAACAAACCAAAACAGTAGGAAAAGATAAAGTGAAACAGAAAGGATAGAGGCGTGGAAACTGATGAAAGGAAAATGCACTTTTTATTTGATCTTACAGCCATAGTGGTTTGTCTAAGACAAACTTATTCTATACAACCTGAGATTGCCTACATGCCAAAATATGAAGCTTTGTAAAGACCTAGATATCCATTTCATACTTGAATTCCTTATACTTTGTTTGATATCTGCCTAAGTACTAGCATGTGATCTGAATGAATATAATATCAACTTGAGAACACATAAGATGCAGCAAACTCACTCTAACTGGCCGGGCAAGAGGCTTTGCAGCTTGATCCACCATGCTCAAGACAACTGCCAAAATAACAGGTGTGCATATTAGCACTAGTATTAATAATATTTGATTCGTTTAACATCGTGTATTTACCAATAACTAAGTCACATGAATCACTCAAACAACTAAGGTACCTTTTCCTCCAAAGCTATGACCTACTAGAACTCAGGGTGTTATTCTGAGTTGTCCAAACTGTCCCAGAAAAAATGGATAAGGAAAAGTCCCTATTAGAAAGAAGAAGATAAATCTTGAGAATATGATTATCTAGTGCTCTAATTCATGTTTTATTTTTGGTAGATACCAGGTGCAGTCAACCAATTTTGTGGAATGAAAATTATGATGTTAAAATAGAATAATCAACTATGAAAGTTACACATGCATGGACCAAAAAGAAATTTATTGGTGAAGGTCCACCCAGTCTAACAGGGAATTTTTTTCTTTTTTTCTCTTTTTCAGTCTTCAAGTGAAATATGATCAAGCCACCTTCATCAAGGATTAATGTATTGCTCAACCATTGGACTGAAGAAAATGGATGAAAACTCATACCATGTTAACCAAGTATTCTGAAACTAAATTGCATCAAACTAAAGATATCCTTTCATGATTAATGAAAATTGGCATAAGGCAGATCAAGTCAAACAATAATTCTTACAAAAACTGGAGAGTTCTTCAAAGGAATAAATAAATAAAGTACACAGTTTTACTTTTTTAATAAGGGTTCTTTTGTAAGATTCAAAGCCAGTTATTAGAATGGTTTTGATGTGTTGCTAGACTTTATTTGGATATTGAGACAGAGACACAATGCCAAGAACCACTTGCTAATTGTCACTCTGGATGAAAACTATGAAAGATAGAAGACAGTTTCTGTTTGTTTTAATGATGGAAGAATGCTTATTGTCATCAAATATTAGGAAAAGAATGTTAAATTGCTTCACCCAACTTATGATTTAAGGAAAGCAATGGAGCTTCTTAAGGGCACATTTGGCTAGATGAATTTGAATCAAAACTGCCTAAGATGAATACGAATCAAATATAGTAAACACTGCTTTACAACTCTTGCAATCAACTCTATGCAAAGGCATACAGGATGAAAAATTAAAAGATCATGCAGAAAGATATACGACTAAAAATGAGGCCCAAGAATAGCATACTAGCTTTAGCACATCCAAAGCAGTTGAGGCAACAGTGTGTGGACCCCTCTTCTTGATTGATGCTGAATCACCATGGCACCTCAAATCTACTAATAGAAACTGCACCAACAGAAAAATTGGTGAAATGAGATTTTGTGTGGTTTCACAAACAAAATTGGTTTATGGGATTCAATATGAGCACAAATGACCCGGAAATATGAGTAAACATTACAACGAAAGTAGAAAGAACTCAAGAAGTAAAATGCAATGATGCTACACGCATAAGTCATCCACTCATATGCCAAGTTGCTCTAAGTGCAAATTACAATTTTACAATCTAAACCCTATAATCCCAAGGATTAATGAAAACTTGTGAAAATCAAAAGAAAAATGGAAGAAAATATATGTGCTCCAGTAGAATATAAAATACCTGCCATGTTGGAAATTCTCTTGCCAATCTCCGAGCAAAAGTTCCTGTAATAAGGAAAAAGCTGATAAAACATACTGGAGAGAAGAGCATGGAATCCCCCAATGTATTTGTTTATGAACCAACTATCAAAGGTGCACAACTTATGTTCTATTAACACTTTAGGATGGATAAATAAATATCACCAGGTTCATGCAAATATAAAATAAAAATGCCTACCCCAGTTTTTCCGGCTACCCAGAATACCATGCAGAAGGACAGCCATTGGCGTATCTGGTACTGACTTGTCTATCATTGAACTCCATTTCACCTGTGTCTGAAATCTTTAAACAAAGCTACAAACATTTCTTTGAGGAATTTGTGCAAAAAACTAAAATAAAAACTTACCAGTACCCCTGAACAAGTTCATATGCCTGTAAGCAAATGAAAATAGTCAGTTGAAGAGAAACTGAATCAAACCTAATGCTATCTTTTACTTCAAAACCATGAGTATGGATCAAGTATAATCAGAATAAACTATCTGAGTTCTGATTGAAGACTATAAAATCCTTTACTCCTCTTCCACATCGATATCATGCTTCATTGATTCCATATGAGCAATTTCTATGTACACACATCCAAGATGCATCTGTTCATTACCAATAACCTAAAAGGCTCAGCCACATTTCTGCCATGTGTCAGCCTCTCATCCACCAATGCCATCCGCACGCTTCCATGTCTAGGTACTCTACCGGAGCTAGTGAGAGTTATCCGCGAAATGCAGAAAGATTCATCCTAGAATGAGAGTAAAACAAATTAGCTAATAAGAACATCACAACAGCAGCCATTTTCAATTTTATTTTATTTCCATTTCTTTTGAATTGTAACAATTATACATTCAGCTCTCCATTGTTTTGAGTTTTACGTAAAGTTCTAGAATTTAACACAGTGCATTGAGTAAAAATCAAAACTGTATCAACGACGATCGGTTAACAATATACAATAAAGAATCGAGATTCATGCTATAAACCTCACCTCAAACGGCTTGGTAAGCCTGATTCCAGCCCTAGAATTGGTGCAGGCTAGCGAACGACAATTCAACTTCGCATCTACAAAATTGATTCCGCTTCCAATGTGACATGATGGAGTAAAATTCGACATGACAGGTCGAACCTTCAGCCGAACCAAATCCACGGTGCAGTCAGATTAGCGGAACCTCCAGGAGCCGCGGAAAACAGGTATCGGGAAAAAGAGAGAAACAAATTGAACATATATGTGGAAGAGAAAGGGAGCTGGAGACGCAACCGAAGCTTTTGCGCTGTTGCTCCGGCCTCCCTGTCGTGCCTGTCTGTGAGAACCGTAAAACTACAGGACAGTGCGTGCCACTCGTTTTCTTGCAGTATTGTGGTTTGGTAACCAGGTTGGCGAAATTAATGCCAATTTTAAGGGTAATATAAATTTTGTATTAAAAAAATAAAAATTAAATTTTAATTTATTAATTACCTAATTAAATTTACTTAATATTAAAATTAATATCAATTTTTACATTTTTTGTGTAAATTTATATTAAAAAAATCCTAACTTGCACAATAAGACATGTGTTAGAAAAATTCTTTTTTTAATAAATGTTATTGAAAAATATAAAAATTGATATTAGTTTTTTTATTATTATTAAGCGAATATTAAAATTAATATCAATTTTTACATTTTTTGTGTAAATTTATATTAAAAAAACTCCTAACTTGTACCATAAGATACATGTTAGAAAAATTCTTTTTTTTAATAAATGCTTATTGAAAAATATAAAAATCAATATTAATTTTTGTATTATTATTAAGTGAATAAATTTAATGAAATAGTAAATAAATTAAAAGTTAATTTTTAATTTTTTACATAAATTTATAAGAAAAATGTATTTATTAATAAAAAATACTATAGTTATAATACTATAATTATAACACCATATGATATTATAGACTTACAATATGATGTGTTATTATATAATTATTCTTTTTATTTAAGGGTCTACTTATAATATAATATGCATTCACTCATTTAATGTTACATTGTATTTCATTTAACCCCACATAATAGTGTAAGTTTACAATCTTATTGGCCAATATAAGTATAGCATTGTCAATTTATTAATACCCTCCAAACTTGTACTCAGAAAAACACTTATTTTATTTTAAACATTTTATTTTGTTTTATGCAAAGGCATGTTTAGTTAGAAAGCCAATTTTATAAGGAAAGTTTTTATTTGAAAAGTGATTAAGAAAATTGATAAGTATTATGGAGAAAGTTATAAGTTTTGTAGTGAAATTTTATGGGTCATAAACAGGTGACAAGTTTTAGAGTAGCCTTTGAATAGGTTTGACTAGGTCTATTACTAATATGTCCAATTAGAGTTGATAGTTTTGATCTCATTTTTCACAATTGTGTTATGCATAGTTACAACCAACCTATTTTTGGGGATTTCTCAAACTATAATTATGAAGAAGCAACACACTCAAAGGAAGTCCACCCATCTCAACACAACACAACATAAAAACATGCCTTAGTCAAGCTTTCAATTAGGTTCTAAGTTAAGAGACTAGCTCTCAAGCTCTTTAATTTTAAATTTTAACTGTTTTATGTAAGATTTGTCCCTTTACCTTCATAGATTCTCTTCTAGATTAGTAGTTTTGTAAGTTTTATCAATAGATTTCAATTATGTTAGTGTAATCAAGTTTAATTCTAAAAATAGATTTCATTATAATTAATGCAATCTCATCATTTTAAATTTCAAATCTTTATTTTATCTTCAAAGCACACTGTTTACATTCCTACTAATAGTTTAGTTAAAGTCTACTAGTAGTTATTAACTTAGATTTCCCTACCATGTTGAAATCTATAGTTTACTTTAACCTTAATTTCCTTTCTAGTTCTACAATGCACTCTTATTCTCTGTCAACTCTCTCTTACTTTCTTCTTTTTTTTAATTAATAAACTTAATAATGGCCCTATATGTGGGAAGTCCTTGAAACTATTGAAGGCAAGTTTATAACTCATTTTGCAAGAAAGCATTCCTCCTTGCAACATTGTTTAATCTGAGACACATCTTTAACACATAATTAATGTTATTCTAACTATCCCACATGAAAGTCGATCACTTGGAAGAAAAAATTATCAAGGGAATCTATCTTTCTTACTTTGATCAAAGCAAGAGGCATGCTTGCACTATTTTACCACTTGGCAGCCAAGAGGAGAGGATTTTAGGGAAACTCCTACATAGAAAGTTGGGGGAAATTTTTTTTGTTTAAATAATGTGTCAAGAAAAGTTCAAGTGTTTGGAATTGTGTCAAGAAAAAATAAATGCTAAAAAATTTGCTTTCCTACTCTTTGTTGTGGAGTAAGTTTTTTTTTATTTTTTTTTGAATGAGATGTTATGGTGTAGTTTTAGTTAGAAGTGCCTACGATGTGGATTGGAACAAATTTTAATATTTTTAAAACTGTAACATCCCACCTTTTGATAAACTAAAGGTTTAGCAAGTAGAGAAATGTCATACACAAGATTATAAAATATATGTATATATATGTATATATATATCTATAAGTTCAAAGGCTCATTTTAGATACCATTCCTAGGCTGAAAATAAATACAAAATAATTGAAAATTATAGAACCAGCCATAGTTTAGGGTAAATATAAACTTGACTTACTGACTACTTGGATACATACTGTTAGCATGGGACATCCACCAAAAGCAAGAAACAGTAGTTACTCCTCACTCTTACTATCTAAAATGGTAGAATAAATTCCATGAGCTCACAACCCAATAAGCAAAATTCTTAACCATAAGTTGCAATAATAATCTTTACTTAGTTCATTATATAGAAAAGTACCAATAGTTTCTAATAAAACTGGTATTACTAATAATTTAAACAATTAGTCATAGAACAATCATACAACACAGCACATTAAACAGATTTAACACTGACTATGGAGTCTACTAAAATGTACATGCACTCACATTAGATGCCAAAGCTGGTCATAGCACTTACCTACTACACAAAGGTCCACTAGTTCACTGTTCTAATCGCCAACCCTAAGTTGGGGTCCATTCTCTCCATAGTTCTAAGATAAATATACCACAAAAACGTATACCATATAGAAACAAGCATCACATGTTCAACAATCAATGTAGTCTATAACCATAAAGAAAATAGGCATAACATGAAAATTTCATAATTTAATTCGTTAAAATGTAGTAAGTCTCAACTCTAGTCCTTAATAGTCTAGTTTAAATCTCATTCTTACTATCCCCACAAATAATTTCACTAGGAAATTGGCTCCAGTACAAATTATTCTAATTAAATTAAATTATACTTTCTTTACTTATTGCAACCTCTATATTGTATAACTTGAACTACAGTATTATAATTCATTTGTATACTTTGTTTATCTTATATTTATTTATTTATTTTTGTATTTGACAACCTAAACTTAAGGTTAAGAATCACACTTACCCTATACACTAAGTTAAAATTCTACCCTCAACAAAGTTTCTTCAAAAATCTCCAAGTTTGCTTAGCTTTTCTACACCTTATTTCTCCTTCTCTTTTGGTCCAGCAAGAGGCAAAAATGTAGAAAAATGACTAATTTAGTTATATAGCTCAAAAACCTTTGGTCCAGTGGGTTTTAATTGCTCCCCACTTAGCCCACTTCTCGTCTAACCAATTGTCATTTATTTGAACAGGTTATAGATAATTGGACTACACTAAACTCTCTTTAAGATAGACACTTGGTTTGCAGTTTATTAAAATAACATGCAATCCCATAATTAACAATTATTATAGATTGGTCTCTAATTTTAAATCAGATAAAGGACTCTAACTTTAGATTCAATACAAATAAGAACCTATTTTTTTAACTAATTGCAAATAAGGACTAGGATATCACATTCTTCCCTCCTTAAAAGATTTGGTCCCCAAATATGTTCTTACCAAAAAAATCAACTAAGGATACTATTTTCTAATTTGTTCTTCTAGTTCTTGAGTGGCTTCTTCCTTAGTATGGTGTTTCTAGAGAACCTCAACCATAAGAATAACTCTGTTTTTTAACACCTTTTCCTTCTTTTCTAAAATCTGTATTGGTTTTTCAACATAACTCAAATCTTCCCTAATTTGTAGAGATTCATTCTTGACAATGCATGAAGCATCTGGTTCATATTTTCTCAAAACTAAAATATGGAAAACATTGTGTTGCTAAGACATCTTAGGTGGCAATGTAATTCTATATGCTACCTCTCCAACCCTTTCTAGAATTTCAAAGGATCCAATAAATCTTAGTTTTTGCTTCCTTTTCATGCCAAATTTGTTGATGCCTTTTGACGGTGAAACCTTTAGAAACACATATTTCCCTACTTTAAACCCTAGTGGTCTTTTTCTCTAATCTACATAAGCCTTTTGCTTATCCTAAGCTGCCTTCAACTTCTATTGGATGAATTTCACCTTTTCTATTGTTTTCTAAACTATTTCAAGTCCTAACATTTGTTCCAATATCTACTTTTCTCCCACCTTAGCCCAACAGATTGGGGTTCTACATTTTTTGCCATACAATGTTTCAAATGGTGCCATTCCTACGTTAGAATGGTAATTGTTATTGTAAGCAAATTCAATTAATGGAAGATGTTTATCCAACTACCTGAGAAGTCAAGTGCATAGGCTCTTAACATATCTTCAAGAGTCTAAATTGTTCTTTCTATTGTCCGTCTATTTGTGGTTGAAACACTATACTCATTCTCAATTGTGTGCCTATTACTTTCTAAAATGATCTCTAGAATCTTGTTGTAAATTTGGTGTCTCTATTTGAGAGTATACTCACTATAACACCATGTAGCCTCACCACATCTCTAATGTAGAGCTAAGCTAAATTCTCAAATGAATCATTCACTTTTGTTGGTAAAAACTGTTCTAATCTGGTCAACCCATCAACAACTACCCAAATCAAATCATGTTGCCTTTTAGTTCTAGGTAGTCCTCAAACAAAATCTATAGATATTTGCTCCCATTTTTATTCGGGTATAGGAAGAGGCTGTAATTCTCCTACTAAAGTCTGATGTTTGGCTTTCACTTGTTGACAAGTTAGACATTTGGCTACCAATTCTACAATATTCTTCTTCATACCATGCCACCAATATTCTTTTTTCAATTTCTAATTCATTTTTGTGCATCCAGGATGTAAATCTAGATTGGTGAGCCTCTTTTAATAAATCATTTTTCAATTCTACATCATCAGGAATATGCAATTTGTCTCTTAATATGATCAACCCAACTATAGCCATTCTAATTCCCATATTCTTCTTCTTTTCTTCATCACTTAACC